GTCTATAGCTGGCCAATAGGTCACGTTGATCTCGCCTTCGTCGGCACTCAAAAAGCATGGGGAAAGGGCGGAAATTCACGCTGACCTCCCGCAGAGGGCGAGGTCTATACCACATGTTAAGTGGCGAACGTATTAGGTGGCACCTAGCCTAGGCGGCGAACCCGGCAGAGAAAGGGGAAAGTGCGTGGAGATTGCAGAGACGCAGAGGGTCATGTAGAGGGCGACTAAAATGTACCCCTGAGTACATTTTAGTCGCCGTCTATCTGCGTCTCTTCAATCCCCATGCACTTCCCCTTTCTCTGCACGTCATGCATTGGTCGCATTGAGCGTCTCTGCGTCCCTGCCATGCGCAGAGCGCAGGGAAGAAAGGGGTACGTGGAAGGTGTTGAGTGTGGGCAGCAAGAAAGCCACTGGAGCTATCGATAATATTGATAACTTTCTGCCAATAAGGTGATCAGCTGTCCCCCGCAGTGTTCCACTTATTGATCGTGTTATAGCTCCTTCCTTGGTCCGGGAGCATTTCACTACTGTACAATCATCTAGGCCATGATCCTAGGTTCAAACACGTCGATTGGCGCAGTGGTGGGTTCGTTCCTTGTTGACATTGGATCGCTCGCGGGATCAGTTCTCCATGATACAGGATGTTTTGCAACCCTCATAGGATCCTACCTTGCTTATCTACAATTCTTTCGAAGTAACACAGCAATGCTTTGTGGTGCAGTGGCAAACGTCGCGCTCATGGGCGCTGCATTACATGGTTCAAGTCCATGGCGACGCGACTTTTGCTAGGAATGTAGTGAAGCTCGCCATTCAGAGCGGGGTCATCTGGCTGTCTCGCCTTTCATTATTCACCGTTTACGGCCGTAGTTCACCACCTTTAACTCCCAGTCTATGGCACTTTACTACCGTCCCAGACGTGTCCCTGCACGGCGGCCCCTGTGTCTTGCCTGCATATTGAATTGCTTCATTTATTCGGGGTCGTTGCTTTTTTTGCTACGCTTCCCGTTCCGATTGTTGCCGCACAAATCCACAGTTATTACGGTACAAATAAGGTAACGTTTGGAACCCTTACCGCTCGGGTGCTAGTGAAAGGAAAGTCTGAAGAGACAAATGTACTCACTAGATAGACGTGTCTCCGGCAAGGTGGGGGTGCGGAAGGAACTCACAAGACGTTTTCAATCTGCGAGATATATTTTCCACACTACACATAACTCGTATTTTGTTTTTTTTTCAATGGTAAATATAATAGAGCGCCAAATTACAAAATTCATCTTTCGGTTCCACGCAGATGTTATTATGTTGCTGTTATTATTTATATATGTTATTTTATATCCCAATTATGTTGTTATTATTGTTGTTATTTGTTATTTTTGTTATTTGTTATCATTAAAAGCTATCACAGCGTGATCTTGGCACCCAGTTTTATTCTTTCTTCAGTCATGTTGTACTTGGCTACTTGGCTGTAATTTGAGGCTTCTGAAGATTCGTCATGTTGATACTGCGTCAAATACCCTCGCCTTCAAATGACCAGAAATTGTGCAATTGCAGAAATTGACGTGGCATTGGCACACGTGGCTAAATTCTCGATGAAAAGGTGACATCACGTGTGCTCAAAGATGTTCTTGAATCGATGCCACGTTAATGCCACGTCAATTTCTGCAATTGCACAATTTCTGGTCATTTGAAGGCGAGGTACCCTCACTTCCCTGTATTATACAATTCACGGTAAGGCCAAATTGCTCATTCCAGAATCAGATATACAGTCTAATATAATTACACGAAGCTCATGGAGATCTCGGGAGATGTGCGTTGGGCTCTTCCATTTCTAACTGGACCATGACGCCTCAGATTTCGGAAACAACGCATGCGTCAGTGGAACACCATGAAGGGCCAGTGATTAGCAGAATCTTTTTCAGCGCTTCCGCGTTATTCAAATTGGTAACATTCAAATGGACTATGCTTGCACACTGTAAAAAGCTCTCCAGAAAAAGAAGGGGAATCTGACAGCTGATTGGGCTAGGATTTGCGATTTTGTTGACCCAGCTGTGTGCAATTCCTTGAGAATTTGACATAGTTGTGATCCAGGAGTTCCAAGCTACTCCGATTTTCTGAATTCTCATCTAGTTCACTCCGTCTACCGTAACCATTTCACCGTAACCATTACCGTCAACAGTGATAGTGCACGTCCAATAGCGTTAACTCAAAAGCGTGGATTGAAAATTTACTCTCCATTGAATATTTTCCACCTGTTCTGAACAGAGTTATCTGAGAAAACTTCGAATTTTCGTGGGTAAGGAAATATGAGGCGAAAAATGAGTAATGGGAGAAAGTTATTATTTGAGAAGCCTTTGAGTATCAATGTATTGCTATCCTTCTATTTTATAAAGCGCTAACTTTGTGTGTCGGTTTGTGTATCTGTATGTGTGTGTGTGTGTGTATGTATGTATGTGTGTCCGTCCGCAAAATGAAGTGAGTGAGAAGGAAGCTCATGGGATAAACAAACCGCTAACAAATCGGGTAGCTTACAGGATTTGAGATATCAATGTTTTGTAGCAGGATAGTTGTGATAACACTCTTAGGGCTATATAAACACCTGCTTAGCACACTTCCGTTCATTCCACATGGTGCTGCAGTGGCAGCTGGAGGGCAGTGGAGAGAGGAAGGGAGGATGAGGAAGGGAAGCGAAAAATCTACCGTCATATCATGATTGTGTCCCTTCTACTGTATGAAACACCATTGTGTTGCATACGCGTCACTTCCAGGAGGTGTTGGTGTCACAGGAGGAAGGGACCATAGCGGAGGATAGAAAGCTTGCGCAGGAAAGGAAGGTCCCGGCGGTTGACGGGGGACTAATCTGGTAAAATAACTACATATGTCCGCTTCCTTGCTACAATATCGAATGAACTTTCCGTGAACTGTCCAGCATATATTCAATTGTATGAAATATCCGCGAAATTTTGGATAAATACATATTTTCTCAGCTGATTTCCGTCCTTTTTCATACATTACACCACATTCCTTTAGACTCGTCCTTATTCGCGCGAACATCCTTGCCTCCTGAGAGCCTAAGTTAATGCGATACAAAGTTCATTCGTTGTTTTGTTTTGTTAACTGCTGTTTTGGCCGCAGTTCGCCTTGCGAATGTTTCACAAGAATGCTGGGTTGTGAACAAAACTTTCGCCCCAGGCGGGACTAGAACCCGCACCTCTCGCTTTCCGGGCAAGTGCGCTACCAGTTACGCTACCGGGGCACCATTTCATCCAACTCAGCTTTTCATGGTATACGTACCATAGCTTTCAGCACTCACACGTATGGGCGAATTGTCGTATAACGTAGTGAGCTGTGACAATTATTTAATTACTGGTTGACGGGTTCGAGCTTCCGTCTGGGCAAGTTATTGTTCACAACCAAAGCATACGTGTAGAACTCATTTTTCTTTTCATTTACCTGCCAAAAATGCGTATTCAACTCGATATAGTGTGCAGCACTGCAAACACCGCATGAGTGACGCGGCCTTGTCGTTTCGAATCTCTTGACCCACACCCAGTTATACCTCACCTGCCATCACTCGATCAATATATATTCCAATCACGATGGAATACCATGCATGCAGAAAAGTTCTTGGTCGTTTTTTTTGCCCGTGCTTGAGGGACCAACTAAAAAGGATAATCAATAGGTGTGAAGCTGCTGCCGCCGAGTTGCAACTGAGGAACGCTGCTTCCTCAGTGCTTTCGCCCACTTTCATCTGACTTTATGAAATCTAAAAAACCTTAGTCACGCAGTGTATTAGTTGTATTAGAAGTTTCGGCAATGCCAGGCGGATCAGGAGTTCACTACACCAGAGTCACCGTGCGTGCCAATTCACAAACGAGGGCGGCTGTACTTGCGTTTTTTGCTCTGGGGAGTTGTATTAGGGATTGGTGGAGGTCAAAAGGTCGGAAAAAGGGACGTCGTATTTTTGGAAGTTGAATGGTTTGAGGTGGAGGTCGAGGTAGGGGCAGCGATGGTCGTGTTGGGAGATCCCCCCCCCCCAAAGCTGAGTGGTGGTGGAGTCGCATCGAGACCAACCCAAGGGACCAGGGTCGTAAGATTTCTCGGATTTAAAACAATGGACGGTTCACCCTGCCCATCACTCGCTGGGCCTTTCAAGAGCGAACTGAGTAGCGCCGGGCCTGTAAAGTGGCCATTAGGCCTCGCAAAAACTTCCCAATCTTGGAAACATGCGAAACTGCACTGCTAATAAGCAATGCATGGGCATATCATCGAAGATGGACATTTGTTCCAACGTCAAAAAGTACATTATTCTTTAATCTGTTGTTGATTCGACAATGAATCTCTGAAGTTCCTTCCTTTTGTGATTTAAGAACTAAATTTTCCGGGTTCATATTTCAAACTATTTCGCTTGTCTCCCTAATCATTTACCTCTATGAACCAACTAATTCTGACTTGTTTTCGATTGTTTTCGACCGTGAGTTCGATTCCAGTCGGGGACGAAATTTTTGTTCACAACCTGGTACTCTTTTGAATCTATGAATAAGGGTTCAAGAACATCGTGTTCGCATCTATGCTTGCACTTCTCAGCTCCTTCCTTACTAATTGCGCGCTATCGCAAGATACGGAGGCATCCTGAACACACATCGACCTAAGCTTCGACGCAAATGGCTAAGGAACTTCAGGAAACACTGATAAATTCCTGATGCACTTGAAGTCCTCTCCTCCCTCGCCTGAGCTTAGCTTGTTTCCAACAAAAAATTGTGTACTTCGCTACCACCAAATGCCCCGTAGCTTGCGATAGCACCCCATTTTTGTAATGAGTTGTAATGGCGTTCCCAAAGCCTACCAGATGGGCGTCTTTATGCGAGACGAATGCAGCCGTTAAAATTTGTGTCTCACGAGTAAGCGCTACCGTTTCCAGGTGGTACAGATGCTGCTCTTCTCCTCACTGATGGCACTGGTTCGCCCAATTCCCCTCAACGTTTCCGGAGTCGTCCACCTCTCCAATGCCGATCGAGCACCACAATGGCGAGCGGCGATACACTGACGAGCAGAAGTACCTCACGCTTTCCCTACCTTTTAGACCGTTGGCTATAAGCGCCTATTTCAGGTTACTGTACCACCTTATGAAAGACTACGAGAAGTCTGTTCGTCCGGTACGGAATGCTTCGCATACCGTAACCGTTCGTCTCGGAATGACCATGACGAACATTTTCGACATGGACGAACGGAATCAAGTGCTCACCATCAACGTGTGGTTAGATCAGGTTCGTTGCTAAGGACATGGCATGGGACGGACGGAGATGTTTGGTGGACAGGATTGCTCGAGAGCTCTATTGTCGAGTGAAATAATCATGTAGAAGTGAAAGTGCATCTTCGCAATTGTGCCAGCTCATTCACAAAGGCAACAAAGCTGGTTCATCAGCCATGGGAGCACTAGCGGAGGAAATTGCGTGAACAAGGGCTCTCACAATTCGAAAATATCCCGCGAGCTTTAATCTTGCTTCAGCCCCGAAGAAGAGATTCACAATTGCTTTGTGCTGCGCCGTTTTTGAGAGTACTAAATCACTGAGTCATACAAAGGGTTTATTCCAGCAAGGGGGGGGGGGCATGCGGTTTAGAACACTCAACGTGTTTGAACCACGGAGCACATTCTCAAAGTGAAAGGGTTTGGGACTAAGGGCCGTATGCTATTGCTCCCCGAAGGAGTTAGGGGACGAAAATTCCTTTAAATTTTCTCTGTCTTCCCATCTGGGATTGCCCTGATAAAGGACCTACATTTAATGTATGTATGTAGGTAAAAGTAAACATGCACTGAAAATGAAGAAACTATATCGTTCAAAACAAATAAATTTAAAGGAAACTTTGGATCACTTAGCTTCGGGGAAGCATAGCATACGGCCCTAATTGTGATGAGGTGCTAACTAGTTGAGGGTCGGGGGGGGGGGACCACGCGGCGGCGCGGTGCTCTGTTCGTCTGCTCCTCCAAGGCTTAGTCCAAGGGGCAATTACTATTCGTCGTCCCACACAGTTTCGAGATAACGCCAATCGGTGCGGACTGGGCCTTGGAGGAGCAGACGAACAGAGCGCCGCGCTGCCGCGTGGTCCCCCCAACTAAGTTAGCACCAATTATGCCTAGAAGGGAAGGAAAACCCCTGGTTTCGTGATCTTCGTTTCCTTCCCTTTCCCTTCTCAAGCCTGTGTCGCTAAGCTGATACTAGGTTACTATTAGATTCATAGACGTTTATGTCATAGAACCCAAAAATACATGTCTTATATAGAAAACTAGTTGAAACGAAGCAGGATTAAGGTTGATAGCAGTCTGTAACTCTGAAGGCTTCTGGATCATACTGTATCCACTTAATATTATTTATTGCGACGAAGTGGCGTCAACAGTGCCAGTATAGTCATGTCGGTGTATTAGAGCAGACCTGTGCAGCGCGATCGCCCTCTTACCGAGCCCAATAAGTGTACTGCAAATCTGAGAAAGTACTAGTAAGTAGGTGTAGAATACCTAAGGGAATCTGTGTGGTTCGGTTGTCTGGTACTATTACCCAACATTGAGGGGTGAACTGATCGACACCACCAGTTTCCCTAGAATGCGCCATGAATCCAACTTTTCAGGTTGAACTGAAGGAGGGCTTGGTGGTAGTCAGTTCAAGAGGGCTCACATCAAAAAGTAGCATCTGGAGTACTTTCCAGGTTTATTGGAACCGCAACCAAGATAATAGTAACCCTCATTCGGCTTACGTTTCGGCCTTGTCCCCTTCGTCGGAGCCCCTCAAGGTTTAAGTCCGGTCGTCTGTTAAAGCTCTGACGAAGGCGACAAGGCCGAAACGTAAGTCGAATCAAGTTTAGAATTATCTTGGTTGCGGTTTCAATAAGCCTGACTGAAAATACCACGAACCATGCGGAGATTTACTGCAAGTCGAAGCATGGATACTTATGAAGCATCTGGAGGATATGAAGCTCTGGTCCGCTGGCATGTCCACACTTTCAGATAGCCTGAAATTAAGCGCACGTCTCAGGGTGATACAAACTTTGGTTGACTCAAGCGGGAATAGTTCTTTCATTACTGTAATAGCTGGATCAATGTTTGGGGATGATTCTCATCATTTTTGCTCCACACAGTACAAAGTGTGTGCTGGAAATGGAGATTCTAACATGGTTGTGAACGACTCCCTAAGATTCCTTAACGTTCTTCTACATATAGTCCTCTATTTTTAGGAATGGAACGACGAGCTTCTGCGATGGAATCCTGACGATTTCGGAGGAATCCAGTCGCTGCGAATTCCTTGCGACATGATCTGGCTACCCGACATTGTTCTGTACAACAAGTGCGTAATACGACCGCTCACAAATCCTGGTCTAGCGGAAACAATTATAGGGCAATTTATCCGTTCATGTAAAGTTTTTGGAAGCATAGAACGGCATTTTGGTGTGCTTCTTGGCTAAGCTGAAAATGAAAACCGCAAAACTGTTCTGATAGAAAATCCGACTCCATTTTGAGGAAGAGTCCGAAATAAAATTAGAGGAATCACCAAAGTAGCTTCATGAGGGCTGGGCTATACGTGAGAAGGCCAAACAAATTCCTCAGATGTCGGTCAGACTCTGCGATTGCATCGCGCGATGCAGTCGCTCTTGCAATGTGCACAAGCGACGGGCGATTGGCATCGCTCCAAAGTGCGAGCGACGGGAGATTTACCCGAGCGGCGCCGTGTGTATCGGTCGTCGGCGGGGTAAATCTCCCGTCGCTCGCACTTTGGAGCGATCCGTCGCTCCTGCAATTGGTGCAAAATCGCTCCAATCGCAAAGTCTGACATCGGCCAAATGCTTTGAGCGAATCCACTCCACATGCCAGTAAAACACTAAAATG